TATAATTCTTCAAAGCTTTGGCTCTATTACCCTTGTAAATGCGTGCTTAAGTTAGAAACAATATTTCCAGCAATGCCACGTTGGACAAATGGTCTTTACTTAACCTTTTGAGATACCACCTTATCTTGCCGTGGGAAACTATTAAAAAAATTTCAAGTTAGGTTTATTCCAGCCTCCTGTGGGGTTACATAGAATGAGTCTTTGCCGTGCATGTATATTCCAAAGCCACGTTATGCACAAAACAAAGAGGGTACAGTAAGTCCACTTATCATGGATATATTTTGGATCTAAAACTCTAGACCACAAGGATCATGACTATGTAATAAATAAATAAATAAATTTTGAGCCTTAAAATGGCTCGTTCTGTATCATTTTAATTATTCAAAGATCAAATCTGTATTGCATTTGGAGCTCCTAATGCATGGGTTTTCATGCGGGAATGGATTGAAAGTGGGGAATGGGTTGAGGTCGTAGTGGTAGCACCACTTGATCCTCAATTACCACTGTAGGTTTCCATTCTCACTGACGCATTCGGAAAAATGGATTGAAAGTTATTTGAAATGTGTTTCCCTCGAAAACCAGGGTGGACACATGACTAGGCTGGCTTACCAAATATTTTTCCTAGACAAAATAGGCGAACTTTAGTTTGTGCCACATTTGAACCTCAATAAAATTTGGCTTACTGTTACAGCAATCGGTAGAATTATTGTACGCATTCCATATTACAAGTCAAAATTTCAGCAAAAATGGAATGACATTTGGCATGTATTCGGAAGTTGGAACTTCTTTATTGAAGAAGGAACAGAGGCAAATGGGAACGCTAGAAAAATTAACAAAATGAACCTCTTAAATGGTGGCAAAAATATTAGGAAAAATAATGAGGTTTCATATAAGAGCAGGTATACCATGTTCCCGAGGGAGCATAGTTTACTTTTATTCCCTCGATCAAGACCTACTTAAGAGGATTTTTTCAATCTGAAATTTTGGAACCACTTAAGAATTATTAGAAAATTATTCTAAAAATAAATAAATTAAAATTTAAGTTTTCTAACACTTAGATCTCGCCATAAAAAATTGGATGGTCTCTATTCAATCTCAAGATATTTATTTTTTCTGGTGAGGTTACAATTCTGAATTTTTTTTTTTTCCTTGAGGTTGAAGAGGTTGCATCCCTAAAATTTGGGGTTCTAAAAGTGAATTATGGGATTTTACCCGAGGGTGTAAATGGACATTCTACTCTCGAAGGAGTAAAATACCTTTTGGCATCATGTAATTCAAGAGTGAAAAGTTTTTGGTGAGTCCCTCGCTCTACCTCTCATGCATTTGCCCAGTTTTCAAGAGTTTTAGGAACCCAAGTGCATCCTGAATCACTATAAATCTATTTTCACTTCAAATTCATACTTTCGAAATTCTAAAAATAATGTAGATCTGATTATTTTTGAAAGATATAATCAAAATGGTCCCACAAAAGAAAAAAAAAAAAAGGACACAATGAAATATTCTTAAAACTCGAAACTTTTCGTTTCAGATTCATTCATGAGAGGATCAAGGGGACACACTAGGGCGAATCCGTGGTCACAACCCAAAATTTTGGTATCGCATTGCCATGTCGTATATCCTAACAACGTTTCCTTACTCATCATCTTCTCTCTCTTGAATCATCTCCAGTGAGGTTCCTCAAATGAGAAAAAAAAAAGAAAAGAAAAATAGAAGGAAGGTCTAAGTCTTTCAGGTTTACCATTATGTGAAATGGACGAATCTAATATTGGGGTAGGGAATTCCTTTGAGAGCTACAAGCCAATTTCCTAGTAGAAGCAATTGTTTTCAGTGGCTTCTTTGAATTCACTGCCTTTCAAAGTCTGGCTCAAATTTCATTTTAGGGTAGCAACAAATTTGGAGCTCGAAAAATTATGCCTTTCTCTTTTTCCTTTTTGAGGAGACTGTTTTTAAATGGGTGGAAGCTTATGTTGATTTTTCCTATTTTGGGTCTCTAGCCCCTATCAAAAGTAGTTTTTTTGGAGAAATATGAATGCTCCAATAGAAAGATAAAGCTTTGCCCTTTTTGGATAAGAGGGTGTATAATGTGCTTCTCAATGATCCATACCTCCAAACGAGGCTGAAAGACGATGTTTGAGTGCCGGGAATCCCCAAGATGGTCTAAAAATCTATTTTCGATCGCGAATTATGAAATTTAAAACAATCTTGAAAATTGACGATTCAAATAATTTACAAGATGCATTATTTCCACGTTTTAAAATCCCCTTTTTTTTTTTTATTCCCATCCATACACATCTCGAGTTCGAGACAATCAATTGGAGGTCTTGGCACCCGAATAACTTTTTCCATCAAGTTTTTGAGGTGCCTCTTACTTGTATAGTGTAAGGCTAATACCTTAAACTTTTGGACAAGGTTTCTTTGAGTGGGCCAACTTATCTATCCATATGAATCCTCTTTCCGAAATCTATCTTAGATATGAGTTTTGGATTTTAGAATTTTAGAGTTTAACAATATATAATCTTATACCATGGCAAACGTGAATATAAAAATTAATAATTTTTCAAAATAAAAAGTAATATATTTTGATGTATTTTACCAGATCATCAATTTGTAGATTTTGATGGGACCACCACCTTTAACATCCATTTTTAAGATGGATGCTAGTCGTGCAAGGGACGCACACCAGCTACATTTTTAGTTTACAAAACCTTTCCTTTGGATAGAACACCTTCCGTTGAGCTTACCGAACGTACTGAACTTTCGTGAAAGATACAAACAATGCAATGGTATAACTTGCAAGAAACCCCATATTTCCCTTGTCAAAAGATTGTATGTTCCCATAGGAGCTTACTGTCCATTTAGTCCCTTGAATAAAATCTAATTTAAGAGTACTTTTTGGACCCCAAATTTTGGGAATGATATCTTCAACCTAGAGACTAACTATAATTTTTATTTTTATTTTTTGCAAATTGCACCCCATGTGTGCCCAAAAGCAGAGATCGTCTAATTTTTGGAAGGTAAAGAGCAAAGTATTGAAAAGCTCCAAATGGGACTATTTTTTTTTTTTTCAAATAATCATAGGATTCTTTAGAGGATCCAAAATTTCAAATTAAAAAAGTACTCCCATGTAGCTCTTTTGCCAGAGGGAGTAAGCATCCAGCAAGCTCCATCAGGACCATAGCATACACACCGCTTTCTAAATGATATCACACATACACTGACTCCTATTATTTAAAAGTACAAATGGTCTTCCCCAAAATGTACTTTTTTAATTGGCTGCTCTAAAGAAAAAAGAAACTTAGATCCTAACGACAAAATTGCGCCCACCACTATGGTGAAGACCTTAAGTTTGGAGATTTTTTAATTGGTTGGGTGGAATTGACACCAAAATAAAAATTCTAAGGCGTGTTTCAAACATGGACCAAGTTATATTCAGAATGCAGCCCAAGGAAGAAATTTTTTGCTTCTCTTAACTTTCTTAAATAAAAATGAAGATCAGGCGTTTAAGTCAACGTTGTGCACAATTTGGTCTTTAAGTTAATGTTATGCACAACTTGTTTGGTACCTCAAAATCTATTACAAACACACATATTATAAAGAAATATGAGATTTACTATGTTTTTTATCTCTCAAATAGTTGAAATCTATTATGCAGAGAGAGAGTACCCACACTAGTTTCTTACCCAAAAAAATCTTCTATCTTCCTATATCCATTTTTTCCTTACTGCCCAATCCATTTCTTCTATTTCTAGACTCTCCTCGGCACATCCATTTCTACATCCCTCTATCCTCAATTTGGGTGATAACCTCCATCACCTCTCATATAAAAACAAAAATAATAATTACTAATCAATAAGCAATTACACAACACAATCATATAATAAAAAATTTCACACAACATAATCCTCATAAGATATTAATGAAAGCTCCATTAAAATAAGATAAATTTTTTATCTCCTCCAATACCTCAAAAATTCTACTACAATTATTGAACCTTCTAGTTTAGTTATCAAACTTCTTCCTATTTTTTAACTTGTACCATAAAGATTTTGAATTTGGTATCATAAATTTATTGTTTATTTAAAATTATATAGAAAGACATTTGAAAGACTTTTATAATAAATAAATAAAAATAAGACATATTACAATAAAACCATGTTATTCCAATCATATTATTCAAATGAATTATCATGTTGAAACCAAAGTCTAATCATGTTAGAAGACATGTGATTCCCTGTAAATACAAATGTCATGTAAAATAAATAAGAAATGACATCATGATGAATTTAGAATGGTACAAATTATTATTTGAAAATCTTTTTGGAATGATGATGATGTTATTATTAAAAAACCTTTTTGGAATGATTGTCCTCCCCCTCCAAAGCATTCGCCCTCAGTAGCACAAGTTCAGCATTGAAAATGTGACCTCAATTGAAAAGGTTTTTCGAATACCAAACTGCCACCAAGCTAGATTTGAATACATACATTCTTAGTTCCTTCTCATTGCGAACAGTTTCCACTTAATGACTTCACAATGAGGTAATCCTGTTTTTGGGTCAAAGGATTTTTTGTCCTTCTCTTGGACAAAGTATTAACAGCTCACTGATACAAACTTATTCACTGTATTCTATTTACATGTGTTACTGACAAAAATAACCATTGCTTCTAGCCTGAGGACGACGGAACCATGGTCCTTAAAGCTCCCAAGGAAACAAAGATACAACAAGATTGTTGGGAAAACCAGAAAACTTCGAATTTTTAAAGGCACAACATGCGTGACATAGTCTGAATTAATAGAACCAATGAAAGAAAGCCCATAATTGGAGCTCGCCCAACCTCTTTTTGAGTTTAAGAACCAGCATAATAACCGTTATATTGTTGTCGTGTTTCTTGTATGAAGGACCTTCTACTTCAATATAAAACACCAAACTAGCACATCTCTATTCTGAAAAACCAACACAAACTCCCACCATACTTGGTTGAGCCATGGTGAAATTCCTGTGTGAAACTCACCACTCTTATCACTTTGGTTTCTTATTCTCATTACAAATTTTAATTATATATTAAGTTACAAACAAATAACTGAGATTATTCATACATGGGCATTTTATCAAACACAAAGCCCGAAAATTGGAACAATATTATCACTTAGCATACAATCGGGAAGAGCATAAAAACTATGCTCAAGCCAGTACCTCTTTCATGGCCTCTGTTTGTTACAGCTCATACAACCATGCACACATGTGCATACATATGCACATAATGTTACATGAGCATGAATGAATTCATTTTGTCATATTCCATATTGAGAGAGCAGTATAGATCGATGATGCCCATCTTGAAAAGATGACGTGGAGGACAAACTGGGAGCTCAATCAACTATCGTATATGCACATGCACATAAATGGGCATGCAATGGTGCATTCTGGCACTTGCCATTTTGATGGAATGGCATATACAGATGATGGCCATAACCACCATGAAGAAGTCGATAAAGAGATGGTACGATAGACTTAGTTGAGAGCATTGTGGATTCGTTCGAGAAGTCTTAGTACCTGATCTACAGGGAGAGAGCACTTGGAGCTTGTACCGACTGGATTTGGCATTTCAGATGCCAATATAGCCTTCTGTTGAAGACTTGTGAGCTCCAAGAATTGTGCTAGCATGTCCCCATCAAGTATCTTAGGAACCCCAACCTGCAACCAATTTTACTTGCAGGATCAAGCCTTTGAAGATTCCCAACTTGTTATGAATAAAGTAAGTCATTGAAATAATGGAGACACATATATAACATGTCATAAAATAGAACACAAAAAGAGAGGTTAAGCTTGTGATTCTATGCTATCACTGGGGATTGGCAATTCATAATCAAATTATTGCACTGTAAACTTAAAACCATAATCCTCGAGAGGCAATCGATAATTTAGCAAATGCTGCAGTAACTCCAGGATTTCATGCCAACATACTTGCCTTTATTCAAGAACAAATTGCATTAGTTTCTTAATTTTCTTTTAAAATGACATGAATTTGTTTTATATATTAAAAAAAAGAATTAATCACCAATTAAGGGGAAAAAATGAAGAAGATCTAGAGCCAAGAATTTCAACAGTATAAAGCATCTACAGAGTTCATTAGGCTTCCAAGAACCATATATTTATATTTCAATGCAGGAATTAGTTACCCCATTTTTCTCTAGAATTACATATCTAAGGGTACCATGGCAATGAATAAAAGGACAAATGTCCCTCATGTAGATACAAAACACAAATATCAAAGAATTTTAATTCATGCACTTCTCTATAGGGCAAAGATGTAGCTGAATAGGCAAGGTATTTCAAATCATCTCTTTTTTGTTTAGTTTAATTGACCTTGGTTTCTTTTTATTTGCATATGAGTAATTTCTGATTAGCAATGATTTCACGTCACTATCTCATTGTAACATAATGAAACCACACTTTTATAAAATCATATTTGTGGCATTTTTATGACCCCAAATTTTGCATAAGCACTCTCTTAATTCCAATAATTGATTCCAAAAAAATAAAATCAAATTTCACCTTACATATGGTCATAATGAGCGCCCCCCCCTCCAACAATGAATCTTGACCTTCCATTTGCTGAATTTTAAAATCCAGGCTTTTAAGAACTCAAAATCAATTTTTTAATTTTTAGAGTTGTTCATCAAATGATAGCAAAGACATCTAGAAAGTTTGGTTAAGGAAAAAATCCTCCTAAGTCCTAGATCTTAGCATCTAACCAAATGGTAAAGGAGGGCACCTATATACATATATATCTTAGCATATATGTGCGTGTGTGTGTGTAAGTAAATCACTCCCACCACACACACACACACACACACATATATATATATATGGGTGCCCTCCTTATACTGTAGAAGTAAGGTGCACCTCAAGAATTTGCTCACAGGTGTTTCGGTATGAAAAACATTATAATGGTTTTAAAATCTATTTTAATACCTAGTTATGAGATTTAAATTTAAAAATGGTATAGATCCAGTAGATCTATAAACACTTCAAAATCTTAAAAATAGACGGTCTAGATAATTTGTTACGAGATGCACTATTTTAAAGACTTGAATTCTGTTTTTTTCTTCATATCCATGCATCTCGAAATAGAGATGATCAATTGGAAGGTTCTCTAACATTAGAATACTTCCTTCTAGAGGATTTTTTATGTGCACCTTACTTCAATAATATAAGGTTGCAACTTATATAATTTTTTGTTGAAATACTTGATTTAGCCTATAGGCCCTACAATGTACAAGCTCACCAACCCCACACCACCCCAAACAACTCCCTCCCCACAACCCCCCCATCCTTTAGGACACGAATGCCCCATTTGAAAAAATTTCAAAAAAGAAAAAAACTTAAAAATGGTCCTTTGAAGAGGGCTTATATGGTGCATAATGACCCATCTATTTTGGTTCATGTTCGATCTACGGTTAGATGTGCTCAAACTCTTTTTCTTCATATGGCGTTGAGGACCATCCTTAAAAGCTGGCTCATGTTCCTAACACAGAAAATGGTGGGGTCCCGAACTTCTGCCATTGAGCCTATAGGCTAAAGCAGGTATTTTGCGCACACACACATTATACACCTGCACAAAAGATCTCATAGCTGTACACTAACATGCTGACAGAACAGTATACGCCCACATCACAGATTTAATCTTGGCCAGTTGGACGGCCAGGAATTGTTTTTGTTTTATTTTTTTAATTTTTTCTTTCCATGAAATTGGCAGCATCCCTGCATCAAAGCAAGGCACACATAAAAATAAAAAGAATTCAAATAAAAACAAATGACCAAAATACCCATAAAGGTTCAAGGGTATTTTGGTTGGTTATTTCTTTATTACGTTGTGTGCACCCGAATTACATGGAAAAAGCATTTTCAAACCAATTAACTATTAATCAAGGCCGCTGGGCATACATGATAGGCACCCATTGGGCATACCTCATCATTCACACACACACTCACACGCGTGCGAGCACACTCAAGCATATCCAAAATCAGCTTTATAAGTCGGAAGTCCTAGTGGATTGTGTGCCCTACCCTCTTAACATGATGTTCACTAGGCAAAAGAGCCTATATGGAGACAGGCAGACATGTGCAATGACCTAAAATCCCAAAGAAAGCTAACAAATGAGAACAATATAAACAACCCGAAAGTTGACTGCTTTATCACTATGTAGTGCTTAATGTGAAATAAGGGATCAACTCCACAAGTATCAGATGGATACTATGAGAAAATATCTTCTGATGGTTGATGTATCAATATGAATTTTCAATCCAGTGAGTTCCTAGAGAATCACTGTATGTCTTGGATGAATTCCCACTTCCCAGGATAAATACATTCATCGAAAGTATTATGCGACAGCCAGCCCTCCTTCCAATCCAAATAGTAGGAAAAACTGCCAAATTCACATAGAAAACTGTAGATTCCAACGGTGTTGATTGGGCCGGACCGACCGGAAAGAGCCAGTCGGATGGATCCGCCTTAGGAAGCACACTATCCGGCAGGACCGGGGGCTGAAGGAACAATGGACGGATGATCGTAGAAATATATTCATCGAAAGAATATAATACTCTCGTAATAGTTATGAAACAGCTATATAAACTCTTAAATGTTACAAAGAACATCAAGCAATATTTTATGTTATCCCATTACTATTTGTGGACATATAAAATCAGGGAAGTTCTAAGTACTGCAATATTTTATGTTATCCCATTACTATTTGTGGACATATAAAATCAGGGAAGTTCTAAGTACTGCAATACAGTCATATAAATTGACTTACCGGGGATCCACGGCCACGGAAATCATCATGGTTATTTCCTAATATTGGAGCAGTCAATGGGTGAACAGCTAGTCTAGCTTGTACAGCATCTAACAGATCGTATTCTTCCCTGCATATTCACCATTGAAAAATAAAATGCATACTCGAAAAACTGAGATTAAGCACATGTCAATAAAATGGTTTTAAAAATCACATTTGATTTAAAGGCCATTCTTTAGTGCACTAAACTTGACATAAACCTTAATCAGTTAAACTAAATTATATTAATCTGATATTGGTTATTAATATGTAGTATAAACAGTCAAGTAGAGTGATAACACTAAATTATAATAAACAAGGGAATAATGTTTTCTGGCATTTAGAATGTCAGATAACAAAGTCGTTGTTCATAATGAATGCAATGCCATCATTATGCCATTTAAAATACTTTGGAGCACTCTGATAGGGATTATGGGTGAATAAATAATACCTAGAGATGCGAATGAAGATCACCACACTCCCTAAGAGGGTACTTGCGACAATGTGACTATCCGCACAATCAAGAAGAGGGTCAATAATTCTGCTGCCCTTAAGTATTCCGTCTCCAGAATTTCTATAAGAAAATGATCCCTACAAAAGAACAAATAATTTTCTTAAAGGCACATAGAAAAGGAATTACTTACCATGCGCGTAGCAGAATATATAGCAACAAGAAAGATTCCCTTTCCAAACAAAGATGATCCAAACCTTACGCAAAAAAATTATCAGGTATTTCAGGCAGCCATTACATTTAAGTTTGGAAGTAATTTCAACATGTAAGAACTGCGAAATATATAAAGGAATAAGTCTTCTGAGATGCTCACCTTAATGTTATAACAACATTAGTTATCACAGGGAGTAAACTCTAACCTATTGAAAGTAATTCCTTTTGAAAGTTAAGAACTCGTTCAAACCAAATGTATCTTAGTTATTGTCAGAAACTATTCTCGTGTATATTCCAAGAAGTGTGTAAAACTTTTAGGACACGTGAAACACGATTGGGAAGGATAAGAAAATTATGTAAGTTATTCCCTCCCAAACTGAGCAACAGCTGCCTGTTTATGGTAGGCAACAGTTACACTAGAAAAACCTATTTCCGGCATGGAAAGCAACCAAAGAAGTCGCAGATTAACAGTACATATAAACAACCGATATTGAAGAATAAGATTAACAAAGTACCAAAAAAAGGAAACCAAAACAATTGATGAACAAGGTAAGCCTATTCTTTCTTCAAAGAGAAACACATGGAATACTTTGACATGTCCTAAGTCCACATAAAAGTGAGTGCGCAAGGACCAGCTCAAGTTCCATCCAGTAACTGCATAGGGTGGTTTAAATCTTGTAGGGGTGTAAATAAGTCAGGTCATGATTGGGTCAAGCCCGATGCGGTTGGGTCCTGATGGGACAGACCCAAACCCAACCTGCAGCGTCAAGTTTGGGGTCCTGGACTCAGACCCAGGTCGAGTCGACCAGAAGAGTTCCCAAGTCAATCCGACCTGATGGACACCCCAAAAATATTGAGGCTATTTAGTTATGTAGGCCACAACCCCAAAGAAACAACCAACATAAGAGAGGCTAAAGAAGCACAAAAGGAGCATACAGAACCATGATGTGTAAGAATAGGGTTGAAGGACCATGTTTTCTAATCATATTTAGGAAATAAATGCTAGGACTTGGGTCCGGCTCTCTTTAGTGCCATCTAGTGAACTATAAAAGAGAGTACCTGCCACATATCGCCATAGGTCATGTCAGAACACTCACAAGTAACCAAACATGCTGCAGCATTATAAAAGATAAGGAAAATGAATGGTACCTTCCTAATGCTGCTAATGGTTTCTCCCACATAATAAGAACAACTTATTGTCAAATTCCGCTCGGGGCTTACATTATCTGTGACACAAGATCAATCAACGGTAAGAATTATAGTTTCAGTATGTACAGTAGATGATAATACAAAGAAAATGAAAAACACTATAAAAAAAACAGTAAATGGCATCATGTGTAATACGTTAAACAAGGCTTGAAAAATCATCGATCCAGATTGGAATCGCCCAATCCGGATTGGATATCGTTGATGGCGATCTGGATCCTATAATATGTTGGGATCCAGCCATGTCTCCCCCGAACCAGCCTGGTCGCCGGTCCATATTGGTTCTATCATAGTGAACCAGACGTTTCAACCGGTTCTCACAGTTTTCAATTTTTATGTTCTATACACGTGGCGGCGCTGTACATACTTCTTAAACCTATTCTCGAGCTCATCATTATTGAATTTTTTATTTCCTCACTATTACTGAACTTTTTATTTCCCGAAAAAATTCCCTAGGCTGCCACGTATGTACTTCTTACACCTATTGTCATGTTCATCATCACTGGCCCAACCCACCAACACGTGTGACATACTCCTCACACGTGGCACCTTGGTGCCACTCACCAAGACATGCTACATACCCCTTCAGCATGGCACCTTGTTACGCTGGTATTGGGTTCTCTCTTTATACTACATTTACATCTAAAAAGCTGCGATGTGGGACTATATAATTATATTAATCATGATTATTATGATATTATAATTAATAATTATACATTGATAATTAAATCTTGTATTTTATTTATTAATCTATTTGTATTATAAATTATATCAATATCATCATAGCTTTTTCCCAATTAATTGTGATACTTTTAGATGAGTAAAGAGAATTAATAAATGCTTGATATGATATTAATTTCACTTTATAAGGGGTATTATTTCTTTAATCTTCTAATATGCAAGTGTTTTGTAATATTTTTTTGAATCATTTTGATGCAATTTAATAATATATTATAATTTTATATTATAATTAATAATCATACAGATGTCCATATAGGGAAACAACGTCTCAATATTTATGCATTTTTGCAAATAATGGAAGTACATAGTGTAACACCCCCAATTTTTTTCAAAACTATAAAAAACATTATCTTTAGAGATTTTTTGAGGCCAAAACCGGCCAATTCTTTGATCTAGATTGCCGATCCACCGATCTAATACGGTTTTTGGGGTGGCCGATCCAAGTCATCGATCCATTTTTTTAAACCTTGATGTGTAAAGTGGATATTCAATGCCACATACTCAAAAATTGCCATATATATATATATATAGGAAAATGCTGAGATTAGCCCACTAGCTCATATGAACATACGAGCCCAACGGCCCAGATTGAATCTAGGCTAATCTGACGGTCACGACCTCCTTTCGTATTTGAATTTTAATTTTTTTCTACGAATCCAAATAAGTTAAAATTTTAGGCGTGTGTTCTTCAAAAATAGGAGAATCTAATAAAAATATCAAAAAAATAATTTGTAAATTTTTTTTTTACTAAAATACCCCTGAAATGTTTTGGGGGTATTTTGGCCTATTTATTTTTTGTGAAATATTTTTTAAATATTTTTATTAGGTGCGCTTTGATGAGAAGAATAGACGCCTAAAATTTCAAGTTATTTGGATTTGTAGAAAAAAATTAAAATTAAAATACGAAATAAGATCGTGACCGTCCGATCGGCCCAGATTGAGTTCATATGTTCATATGAGCTAGTGGGCTAATCTCAGTATTTTCCATATATATATATATATATAAGAGAAGTTTGAATTTAGTGACCAACTTCATATTGGGCATGCAATCAATTGCCTTCAATATTATTAACTTTGTGGAAAAGTCCTCATTAGGCATGACTAACATGACTACATGCATGGTCAATAACTTCTCACAAGGGGACCAACCGTACAACCTTCAAGCCATACCAATTATTTTACCTTCTGAATAATTTGCACATGAAAGAAAACAGATGTTTCCCCTGCGGTCTGACACAACACCAGTGTCCAAATCCAGTAGACTGCAGTCTGCAACTATCCTCTGAACAGGATCACAATACAATTGTTCTAATTTTCTGAGATCCTGAGCAAACAGGTTCATAACAAGATTGGACTCGGTAAAGATCAATCCATGAAAGAAAAAACACCAACATAACTAATGGATATAACAAACAAAACTTAGATTTTTTTAAGAGTTCATTAGAATTAACCTCTTGATACGAATAAAAAAGTAAGCCATCACGACAATCACCGACAGCGATTCTATTAAGATGGGCAGTAATACAGGTGATTGTGAAGCGTGTCCTTGCAGAAGTAAACCTTCTCAAGCGTTGAGGGTTTTCATTCAAAATACCATACACAAAAAGCTACAGAAAAAGACAAGAAATATGACTTAGTATAAATACTAAAATAAAAGTAAACAGATATATGTAATCATCCATACATAATCATCCTCTTTTATCTTCCAAAGAGTGGTTGAGGGTTTATTCTACAAATTTGTATTCCATAAACAACAGAGCTGCAAGCATTAAGTATTATCCACCTAACTAAATGGATTTCATGAAAATAAGAGAGAGATCTTACATTATTGCCTGCAGATACCAAGATGTAACGATCAAGATAAGGGCAGATAGCAAGTACAACCCCTGGTAATGTAAAACTCCACTTCACTCTCAAGTTACAGGCTTCACATTCTTCAAGCTTCACTCCATCGCCACTAGCATCATCTGGGCTGCTACATATACTACTACACGACAATTGTTCCGTGGCATATCCAACAATTTCACGAAATGGGGAACTAAGTTGAGAAGATGAACCCAACTTAGAATCTGAGGCCAATGAACTGCTATCTGAATGCTGCATATGGTCTAGGCCAAATACAATTAGACGTCCACGAATGCTGACAAAAGAAATACAAACATAGTTAAAACTAAAATGTGCAACATGAAAACATGCATTCCTGATAGAACATTCAGAAAAAGGGCGTAAATGTCATACAGTGGATGCAAAATATCAGAGGAACTAAAAACACACAGAAGAAATGTGTGTGTGTGTGTGTGTGTGTGTGTGTGAGAGAGAGAGAGAGAGAGAGAGAGAGAGAGAGAGAGAGAGAGAGAGAGTGAGAGAGTACAACTAAGTACTACAACGACGAACTAACTAACCTAGTAGTACTACTAACTACTTAAACTAACGTAAGAAACGACTAACGTAGT